GTGATTGTGGTGTATCCTATGAGATTCAATGATTCCATAGACATTGTTCTTGCGACTTCCTTCTTGCAGGTAGAGTTTTTCAGCTAATGCCTTATCTCATTAGAGTTGCTGAGCTAAAAGAGAATAAGGGAGAGCGAACTAAAGGAAAGCTTAACTTGAATCTTGAAAAGCTTTCTCGTGCAGTATTTTGCTCCTTTTTTGGGTGGTTCAATGTATAAACTTTAAATTTTCATTATAATTTAGGAATTTGTGGAAGCCAGGCGGACAGGTGGGTTATATAATGCCCCCCCTTGTTCATGGTCTCTTTCTCCTCCAGCAGAACTAAAAGAAGCACCCGCACATGCATTATCAGCAAATGCAGGATTTGTAACATTTGGTTTGTGTTTTGAAACTCACATCTTTTCATCATGTCATTCGTTTGCTGCTTTCACCGCAATATGTGTGTTCAACTCTGCAGTTATCCTCCCCCGTCATGTAGAAGGCCAGAAATTAGATCGCACAGTCTGGAATTTATCAACTTTTCATGCATATGTTAGCTATCATGTTAAGGTGCGTTTTCTCTGACCCATCTAAAATTTTGCACCTATCATCATGCATAGGCGAAGCCCATCGGTATTTATGGACAAGAAAGGCTACTTTTAAGGGACAAAGCTACAAGTCAATGGACTAAAATATTTGAGAATAATGAACTAAAATATTTACTTTATTTATATTAATTCTAGAGAGAATTGTGAAATAATTCCTTGTATTATTCATGATCAGACTATGCATATATATATATACAAGAGAGGAGTCTATGTATTAATGGCTCATTATGAGGAAATAATATCATATCAAATCCTGTACTAATTGCATAATATTTACATATCTTTTCATATATTTACAATTTACAAGTCTAACGCTCCTAATGCTCTCTCAAGCTGGTGAAAGGATTTCCTTCTTGCCGAGTCTGATGATTGAGTTATGAAAGAAAATTCTAGGTAACTTCTTGTCGAGCACATTTACAAGCTGGTGAAAGAAACATGACTATGTAGGCCACATAAAAGAGAAAAATAGTAGTAATGAAGACTAAAAACAGTAAGAAAAACACCCGCTGGTAATGAATTCATGACTAACGAAGTCAGTATCTGGCAAACGTCGTCATCATAGCAATGAAACGGGTAATGAAATATTTTTATTCCTCAAATTTGCCTCAATTATCAGTTTGGTCCCTGAAGTTTAATTTTCATCAGTCAAGTTTCCAAAGTTTCATAATCATACATAATTCGTCCTTGTGGTTTGAAGACATACAATATTAAGCACAAATATGGTCTAACCGTTAATTCTGGGATGACAGCCTCTTTATTGCAGGAAAAAAATGGTTGGTTAGATGAGATCAAATAGGAATATAAAATTGTGCATGAAATTTTAGGGACTTTGTCGATAAAAATTAAACTTAGGGGCCAAATTAATAATTGAGACAAACTTGAGGGACCAAAAGTTTCATTATCCCAGTGAAATGTATAAAGAGTGTTTGGAGACAATTGGAGTTCAACTAGAAAGGAAAAAGAGCAATGAAAGCCATTAATGGTAATGGGTTACATCTCAGAAGTAATGAAGGCTGCATATAGAGGGAAAAAAGTCCAGTGATAATTTCATGTCTTGTAAAGACAAGGGCTGGTAATGTTTGGTTTTCTCATGGCTGAGGCAATGCACAAGTTAGTGCCTTGGTTGTGTTGTAACATTACTATGATGTATTTTGATTGAGGGATCTTTGGAAGGCGACTAAAGATGAAAAGCTTAGGATGACACTGAGCAGAAGTGAATGACACATCACAAAACACCAAGTACTAGGTGACTTGAAGTTTGATGCTTGGGATGAAGAGGGCTCCATGCTTATGTTGTGGTTGTGGAATTCCATGATTCTAGAAATCAGTGATACCTACATGTTGCTTTGTACATAAATACCTTGTACTCATTCTATTTGATTGATCAGAAAATATTCTGACGTTTGTCATGGATGGATATACTAAGGAGGCCATACTTCATATTGAAACTTAATTTGTATGGGGGTCACAGAATGTAGTCCATGAGCCCTAAATCCTAGCCACTTGCTCATAAAGCTCTACTACTATATCAGTGGCTACTTTAACCCAAAAGCCAAAGCTATTAAACAAAAGCCTCTATGGTTCTCAGTGCTCTAACCTTGCATTTTTATAACAGTGCTCTGAAGGATTTATGCATACACGGATGCGGCGTCGAGTGGAGTCCTTGATTCAGGTGAACTCACATTTTTCCCTCAGCTAATTATCTACCGTGGTAGTGTCCAATTTTACCTCTGGGACTGGTTCTCAGTAGTTGAATTTTGTTTGATCGCTCGTCAGACTTTGTAGACGAATATCCTTGATTCAGCAAAAATATAATGAAATTGTGGTGGTTTGGTGATTATAAAAATATTTTTCGCACAGATCTATTTGAGTCATCGAAGAAAGTGCTTTTTTGGGCATCCATGATTTGATTAACAAAGCTTCTACTTCTTTTTTTTCCCACCTTTGCTTGTTGGGTAATCATAGATTCAGTGTTCAAGAGGGATTGATCACCCTTCACTGTTCTTCAAGTTTATTTAGTGTAACGTGATAGAATATGCATTGCTATTTTGTAGGCGCTGGATCGCGCGAAGCCAGATTTTGAGGATTCAAAGATGACATCACAGACCCGATCCTTTAAACGAATGGTATATTAGTTATTCCTGAATGGTGTGCATTTCAAAGTTCACAGCAATGGTTTTCATTTAGCATTGCTTTGATTATTTATATTCTGTTTTCAAAACACATTGTCGTGTGGGATTATAGAGCCTGAAGGATTCAAAGTCAAGCAACAACTCATTTTCATAAAGGCAAAGCATGATGAGAAAGCAGCGTTGTGCTTATTTTAGATCAAACGATGGGCATCCAAGGAATTGCCGGTATATTTTTGTGGACTGTTCCGGATGCCTGTAGTAATGCCATGCTTCCTTTGGATTCAAACATGATTAACGTCCAAGAATCGCTGGCCTCTATCTCCAGAATGTTCCAGATCATTGTAATTTATTCCTGGGAGTATGAGAAAAATGATTATTAACCAATTGAATGAATTAACCGTTACCTTGTCCGATATTGTCACCCATCTACCTGTTTTGGGGTACACTTCTAAATTCCCTCCCTTCCGTAGCATTTATGTAGCGTTCCTTTTGTTGTAAATGTATTTAGCATGTTATGTAGCATTTACGAGGTTACATTGGAATTGGACTATAGTATCCCGGCTTAGTTAAGGGATAAATGATTTTGTAGTTCGCAAACGAATTCTATTGGCAACCAAACATTTCAGAGGTCTCTTGCTCGTGTTATTTATCATGATTTATGTATAGTTTTGGACTAATGTAGTATTAGTTAAAGGTATGTTAGAACTGGGGGGGAAGGTGAAGAAAATATTTGGATTAGATATTTCGGCATTACTTTTTCATTCTTTTCAATATGCGCACGGGGAAAAGGAAGAAATATAAGGATCTCGATAATTCTATCGGAAGTCATATCACAGAAGATGTGCAACACACCTAGCGTATTTGTTCTCCTTTGCTTACTGTGCCATATCCTTTTATAAATGAATTAGAGATGCCACGTTAGTTCCCGCTTTAGAGAGAATTATCCATAAATTCCATATAATAATTGAACACAAATAGGTGCTTAAATTTCATTTACTACCTGTGCGTCCCAAGTGATTTCATATTTACAAGTCAAACTTTCATATAAAATATTAAATCCTCTGAAAACATATTAGTATTAAGACATACTTGTGCGGCCTCCCGTCTCTAACATAAAATCTAGTTTAAACTACAAACTAAAGAAGTATTAAATAAAATTCAAGGAACTTATACATATAAACATACAGGTAATCTTTCCTTTTTCTTAAAATCAATATCAATGTAAATTTTTATCAAATAATTTTTAGTATAAAGCACACATCAAAATTTGTATATTTATATATAATGTGAAAGCTACAGCAATTGAAGTCTTGAACAGTGTTATTTATCTTAGGGAAAATTGCAATTAAGTCCCACCTACGGGAATTAAGTACAAAAAAGTCCTTTAAAATCATGAAATTATTCTGAAGTCCTAAAGGACTTTTTTGTAATAAATTTTATTTGTTTAATTATCAAATTATCCTTCTTTTTTTAAAAAAAAAATTTGCATTGACAATTGAATGAGCAGTGGTTGACAACTTAGGATAATTTGGTAATACAAACTTAAAAAAAAAACAAAGAAAGATAATTTGGTAACTAAACAAATAAAATTTATTGCAAAAAAATCTCTTAGGACTTCAGAATAATTTCATGATTTTAAGAGATCTTTTTGTATTTAATTCCCTTGGGTGGTTGACAACTTAGGATGCAAGAATTGACAACTATCGCGGCTGGTTTGACAACGTAGGGTGTGATATGTTGAGAAAATGTATTGTCAAACCAGCCACGATAGTTATCAATCCTTACACTTTAAGTTGTTAAACACTACTCTTTCAATTGTCAATACAAACTTAAAAAAAAAAAAAGAAAGATAATTTGGTAACTAAACAAATAAAATTTATTGCAAAAAAATCTCTTAGGACTTCAGAATAATTTCATGATTTTAAGAGATCTTTTTGTATTTAATTCCCTTGGGTGGTTGACAACTTAGGATGCAAGAATTGACAACTATCGCGGCTGGTTTGACAACGTAGGGTGTGATATGTTGAGAAAATATATTGTCAAACCAGTCATGATAGTTGTCAATCCTTACACCCTAAGTTGTTAAACACTACTCTTTCAGTTGTCAATACAAACTTAAAAAAAAAAAAGAGTAATTTAGTAATTAAATAAATAAAATTTATTGCAAAAAAATCTCTTAAAACTTCATAATAATTTTATGATTTCAAGAAACCTTTTTGTATTTAATTCTCTTGGATGGGACCTAATTGCAATGCTCCTTTTATCTTATAGTCTGTGCAAATCATATAACCCCCTATCAATCTTACATAAGAATATAAATACAATTAAACGTCTACAGGGTCATAGCAGGCTCAACAAGCGTCAGATGTCTTTTTTTTTTTTTTATTGACGGAGAACCATCAAATTTCGTTTTGCCATGATACTTCAATACACTATCCACAAGTAACATTTGTTCAGACCACATTTCAGCTGAAAATAAATGTCAACATAATTACGCAACTATGATCAATACTCTATCTACAGAAGCTGTCACAAAGACAAAACCCCGACTCTTTCGATCTTCAATTCTTGCTGCTACCTTCTTTGCCACCGGGAAAAAAAAGTGTCCTGTCCTCCTGTCCAGCGTGCATTAACCGTTAAATAAACTACCTCCAAGATTGCATTATTGGATTATTAACTGGATTTACGGGATGAGGAAATATGAAAGTGCAGAGACTTTATCTACCTGTTCAGCTTTGCTTTCAATCACATTACATCCACAATCTGCTCCACCTATCGGAAGAGCCTAGACGCTGGTCTCTTGAAGACTTTTCCTTCAAGCTTTAGTCGCCTATATGCTTCTCTCAGATGGCAAGGCCGGATTGGCCCAGATTCTTTCCTCTCTTTCATGACTATTCTAGCTACAGAAATAGATTGTTCATTGGTGGAGATAGTTGAAACCAGCATATTAGCAGAGTAATAAGACCAGTGAGATGCACCGAGATTCTAGAGAATGACATTGGGAATAAATCGAACTTTCAGTTCCTCTTTTGAATAATTTATTGTTCACAAAGGAAGCATCTTGTGATTATGAAGCAAAACTACCATTACCTGTTTCAATAACATCACCGACAAACATCTTTGCTATCCCTGACACTACAATCGTCATTGGCACAGAAATTTTCTGGGTTCCGGTAATGCTTGCTAACAGCTGCCTCATTGCAATCAAGGAGAACATAAAGGGGCAACATGTGAGCAACTTCAGTAAAAGGTGACAGAAACTAAACTTAAAGAAAAACGAGAAGAAAAATGGAAACAGGAACTCATAAATCCCAGAAGGAAGTTGTTTCAAACCACTCAGATTAATTTCAAATTTTCAGATTGTTTGACATGGTTAAACCGTAAATTAATTTTGGCACGAGGCATATTGGGTTTGAACTTGAAGCTCAAAGGCTTTTTGAAGAAGTGTGTTTTAAGAGTTATCAATAAAATAATCGTGGACCTGATTAAATGCTTATCATTTCAGTTAAGATGACCCATGTACCATAGCCTTTGTGACCAAGTTATCAAGAGTTTAATCCTTCCGCACTCATTCTCTTGGGAGTTAAATTATTTATAGTCCCTAGTTATCAAGAGTTTGATCCTTCCGCACTCATTCTCTTGGAGTTAAATTATTTATAGTCCCTAGTTATCAAGAGTTTGATCCTTCCGCACTCATTCTCTTGGAGTTAAATTATTTATAGTCCCTAGTTATCAAGAGTTTGATCCTTCCGCACTCATTCTCTTGTAGTTAAATTATTTATAGTCCCTGTACATTTACTTGATTTTTAACTTGATCCATATAATTTAAAGTTTTTTAATTGCGTTTTATAAAGTTTTAAAAAAGTTTTAACTTAGTAACCAAACTTGTGCTATATCTCAATTGAAACCCACTAACCTAAATATATAACTGCCATGTTGGCACTGCACCGGCACAGTCAAACTGCTGCACGTGACTCACTTTCCCAGTTTCCCTCTTTCACTAACCACTCTTCATAGGAATTTGGAATTAGCACATTGTTGGACATCAAGCAGCTTGTTGCGATTCTTACCATTCTGGGCATGACCACACCCCCCCCCAAAAAAAAAAAACAAAAAACCCAAACCTTTCTCCCAAAATTTTTTTTTGAAAAAAAAGCCATTCCATTTTTATGACTTTTTATGTACAAGTACAAATGTCATTTCCATTACATTACCTCTCCTTTTCCCTTGCCCTTTCGCAATCAAACATACAATTTTGGATGAGATGATCAAAGAGTATTAGGTGAAAGAGGTAAAGATAGTCATATGTGGCACTTTGAGCATCCTACCAACACAGCAATTATAATTTATAATTTTATATGTCCAAATCACTCAGTTTTACAGGGGTCTAGCTAAATCTTCTAAGGACTTCATACAAATTTTACAGCTATTGGACTAAATTAAAAATTGAAAGTAGAAGTTAATAAAAGAATACTTTAACCTCTCTTCATTAGAGTTAAGCTTTAGCAGAACAAAGAATCTGAGCATTTTGACTATAAAAAAGAGCAGGATAAAAAACATACCCTTTTCATGTTAGCTTTCTGAAATCCAGCCCTTCGAAAGGACTCATATCTGCTCATTTGTTCTTCAGTGAACCGTGATAATATGGCCCTGATGCAGCAGGCAAATGCAACATTTTCAAGAGGAATATAAAATAATTATAAATGCAAACTTATAATAAACAGACAAACAAAACAAATATTCTAATAAACAAACAAACAAAACAAATAAATCGTGGTCAGGAAAACAAACTATACTACCAAAAGAAAAACATGGAACAAGAGTTGTAACATATAGAAAGCTTCTTGGAAAACTACGTGTCTATCCTACCTTCACAAAGTTCTTTTTATTGCTCCTTCGATGCCTTTTATTCAGAATATACACTCACTAAGTGATCTCACGTATTTGTACAGTGCAAACTTTAGGTTTGCAGTTCTTATTTTGATTCCACAGCCAAGCCAAGCAAGAAAAAAAAAATCAATACTACAGTGATCCCATCAGCCCTGAGCTTTTTGAATTGAAACACAAACACCCCCCCCAAAAAAAAAAACAAAAAAGGATGCGTCCACTTACTGCATCTTGGCCATTTTATCAGGGTCGCCGCTTGATGGGAGCTTGCCAAGTTCAACATCCATGTTCTCTTCCTCCTCCTCATCCTCGTCTTCTTTATTCTTAGCAGCATTGGTCGTGGGCCCGCTGCTAGTCCCAGCTGAGAGAAATTTAGTAGCCGGAGTGAATTGGGCCGCCGTTTTAGTACCATTACTATTCGAGATGTCATCTTCTTGGCCAACGAAGGTACCCTGCACGCCTACAGCACTAGGGTTTTGTGTTTCAAATGCTTCATCTGGCGATTCTGGCGGTGAATCCTCTTGCTCCTCATATGCTGCTTCAAATGGATCCTTTGATTGCTTCATTCCGTTTCAGAGTGTTCTAAACCTACGTCCCTGACCATGAAATAATTCGATTGAATTTAAATAAAACCTTCGGGCAGTTACATCATGAAATTTAAAACATACAAGCCGCGAAGTTCTCGTTTCAAGTCACTTGCACAGTGGTGTATAAAAAAACCGAAACTTCTGTTAATAAGAGATCCTACGAAATTCTCCGCAGTAACACACATTTTACCAACATTTCGTTATCAACCATTACAGCAAAAATCTAACATCCTGCCAACACAAAAAAGAAGCAGCAGAGAGTAATATAAAGAATATTTAATCAGATTTTAGGATTCATCGAAAAGTGGAACAAAATGAAGCAACTTTCCTATCCAATAAAATCGCCAAACAAGTCAGACACGAAGAGAGCGAAATAACAGCGATAGGTAGACAAACAAAAATCATCAAATAAGCCACATCCAATAAAATACTCTTTTCAGCTGCCGCAAATTTCCAATTGATCAAAACACGGCTGAAAACAGCAACGAAGCTAAGCTCCGCAGAAGACGATTACAAAAGAAGCAGTGCGCAGGTGTGGAAAATTGGAGAGAGAGAAGCACCAGCACCAGAACGAACCAGAGAGAACGGCCTCGGCTTAACGATTGTGATCGGGCCCCGAGAACGCCAGAACGGTATGATGAAGAGGGTCTCGAGCTCTTTATGGCTCAGGACCAGCAAGGACCCCCGAAATATTCTCGGTGACCCATCAGCCTTTTTCTTGACGAAGTGCTTTTTGATATACTTGGGGCCCGTTTCAAATAGTTGATAAGTAATTTTTTAATTATGATTTATAAAATATAAAATAAATATATAAGAAGAATTTTATCTCGATTTATATAAAATATATTTATAAATATTTTTAAACGCTTTCGCAAACAGGTCCTTAATACCTCATGATATTTTTTTAAAATGCGTTTTACATTCAAAAATTTATTTTTTGATGCATTTAGTATCAAGGTAATATATATATATATTTTAAGATGTTAGATGCATTTTAACAAATTTTAGGGTGCTAATGCACAATAAAATATTTTAAAATATTAGATATATCTGAAAAAATGTTTCGAGATTCTCGATGGACCTTAACCCAACTATTTAATGCATATGTATTAGGTATTAAGGGCTCGTTTGACTTATTTTCATTTTTGTTTTGGAAAAATTAGATTGGGTAATACTATCTCTAATCTTTAATATAAAAATTTATTTGACTTTTATTTTGATCCTAAATATAACACTCCAATTTATTTTGTGTTTCATATTTATCTTTTTTTTCAAGGTAATCTTTGTAATAATAGTAGTTCTAGTCAATACACTTGATTAGCAAGAATATTTTAGAAAAAACAACACCTATTTATTACAAACAACTAACCTAACTAATTTTCTTAATCTACTTAAATTAGTCAACTAACTTTTATATTAATGACCGGAACTAGTATGATTTACATTTAGATTGGGGTTTGAAAAAGTTAGATGGGATAAAAATAAAAGTTATTTGAGTTATAATTGAATAACAATTTTAGTTTGTAAAATTATCAAAATGGATATGAATTTTGTTATATAATATAAAATGAAAAAATTATGAATTTACATAATATAATTTTTCTTCTCAGGACATTTTTGCAAGCATCAAATTTCCACTTTGTTCTTATTTATTATTCACTTGGAAGGGAAAAATTTGTTATTAAATACAAGAAATCACTTGTGGTATAATTAATAAGTATTTTTTTATCCCTATTAACTTAATAAATAGGGAAAATTACAAATAAAAATCCCTAATATGTAAAATTACGATTTTGGGACTTTGAATTTCCAAAATAGCAAATAAGGACCTGATTTTATTTTTGTAAATATGAAATGTGAGTGAAATATCTGAAATGGCTCTCAGCTAATTGTGATTTGATCTACTGAAATTGTCATTTGCTAAAGTGAACTTGTCATTTTTCATAGTAAACTAGTCATTTGGCTAAGGGATATTTTAGAGATTTCACCACGATTTCATATTTACAAAAGTGGAACTGGGTCTTTATTTGTTATTTTTCAAATTAAGAGTCTTAAATCATAATTTCACATATTAAGGGGTCTTTGTTTGCAATTTTTCCTAACAAATATTGAGAAAAAAACAAAATAAATAGGTGAGCTAAAAATAATGAGAACAAAGTTTGGTTTTATTTTTTTATTTTTAATTAAAATAAGCAGGACTCATAGACTTCGTTGTCTTTTTCTCTTCTCTCTGCTGACTCAAAATGGCCTATGGCCATTATACGTTAAGATTAGTTTTTGACTTAAGAGCTACTGCTCACCCAAATAATCCAAACAAGAGCTAAACTATTGCCGTACTTTTGAAATGTGAATAGTGGCTTATTCCTTCACAAATGCTATGCCAAATAAACCATAAATATCAGAATATCTACCGTTAACCGACAAGGATGAGTTTTAAATTTAGGAGACTTTGATTTTACATAAAAACACGGCATTTCTCTGGTTATATTTATAAAAAAAAGAGAGAGAGAAGGTTTTTCTTGTTCCTGTTATAAGTTATTTCATTAAATTTTTAGTATGAATATATTATTTTGTCCTTTGTTACAAAAGGTATATATATTAAACAGCGATAAAATTAAAAAATTATTAGATTTTAATAGAGAGTTAATACAATTTAAGACTTTTCTTAATTCATGTAAAACATATTGAAAATACCTTGTAAATAAAATCAGGAGATATATCAAAAGAAAGTGAAAAGAAATAATGCATTTTTAATTATTTAAAATTAAATTATGGTAGTTAAAAACTGAACGGGTTAAAAATCTAGTAAACACAGACTCATAACATTAAAATATTTGTGAATATCAAATTTATCAATTTTGACTCATCTATTGTAAAAGGAATGTACTAAAAATATTTTTTTATGTGCATCTAGCACCATAAAATATTTTTTGGTGCATCTAGCATCTCAAAAGATTTTTTTAGGTGCATCCAGCACCCAAAAATATTTTTTAGTGCATCTAACACCTAAGTAAAAAAATACTTCAAGGTGCTAGGCCCTCGTAAAAAATACTTCAAGGTGTTGGATGCACCACAAAATACTTTAGAATGCTGGTTGCACTTGAGAAAATACTTTGAGGTGTTGGATACACTTTAACCCTTCTAATAATCCAATGCATATGATTGCAGAGGATAGTTTAAAGAGATCAATACACATTTGTCACAAATAATTCATTCAACTCATTTTTTTAATATCCCCAAATTAATTATCTATTTCTTATATTAAGGATTGGAGGCAGTATATTGATATCCAAAATTTACTTTTTATTTACTAAAAGATATAATACTTATTTTTCAAATAAGAATATAAATATGTTGGTTGAAAAAAAAAAGAATATAAATATGTATCGTTTCACCTCATTGTTTGCGTTTCATCCTCTGATCCTATTTATAGGATAGAGGGATAAAGTTTTCTTCGTCCCATTTATAAGTAATTTCATTAAAATTTTAACATGAATCTACTATTTTGTTTTTTATTTATTATAGCATAGATAATTATTTTTTTAAAAAAAGATGCATAGTGTTAAATAGGAATGAAGTTGAAAAGTTGTTATATTTTAATAGAGAGTTAATACAATTTAAGTTTTTACTTGATCTGTGTAAAATATATTGGAAGTGCTTTATAGAAAAAATCAAAAGAGTATTAGTTAAAATTAGTTAAAAATAATAAGTAAGTTAAAAATATACTTTTACTTATAAATATATCCTTGTAATAAATAAAAAATAGTGAAAAAGAATGTGTTAGAAAATGTGATAAGAGATAGTATAACAAATGAGAGAGAATAAATAGTTAATAGCAAAATGAAAAAATTATGACAAATTCAAATTAAAACTTATAAAATAAATACTATTTTTTAAAATTTGAAGTCTATAAATAGGAGTGGATGGAGTACCTTTCAATAGTTTCTTATTTGTATTTAATTTACATAAACCTCAAATTTTGGCAATATACATGAGCCCCGGCTAGTTGGGGGAAAAAAAACCTCAGCCAGTAAAATGCCTGAATTGCTGGCCAAAAAAAGGTAAAATGCTTGGATTACCTCATGATTGACGTTAACAATGCACCTTAAATTTATAACAAACTCAAGCATAAAATATATATTTCACAAATTATTTAACAAGATAAACTCGTAATGAAAAAATAGGATAAATTTGAAAATTTTTCATTATTCAAAATTTAAAAAATCCATATAAATATATAAAAGATGAAATTTAAAAAAACTTGGGACAATGACAAAAAATGAAGTTGAAATTTTATAAACACCAAATAAGGAATGCCCAACAAAAATTTGTTATCATTTACAAATTCAGATTTATCAATATCAAATAAAATTACAATACCAAACCTAATTTAGGATTTGTAATTTTCAGTTTCTTTTCTTGTTATTCTCTGTTAAAAAAATTATTTATCTTTAATATCTTAGTTTACTGGGAGCATATTATTTTTTGAGCCAAGAGGCCAAGATAAGATGGGGGCTAATGGCTGTGCAGCCGGGTGATACCTCAGATGTGTAGATGGTTGAGTATTAGATTATCGAATCTTTTTTGAGAAATTGGTGACGGAAGAAGCAGGAACCAACCGAAGATGATAGTAGCAGGCAAACATTCTTAGACATGGCATCCCAATTGTTGCCGCTTTCGCTTTCTTTCTCGTCTTCGTCTTCTCGTCTTCCAGCGTTCCTCCACCGTACTCCGTTTCGCAATGGAGCATTCCCAAGGCACAGCCTTGCCGTCCGCTATCGCCAACGCTCATCCACCCTTGTTGTGCCCCTTGTGGGCAAGGAAGACACTGAACTGCGCGTCTCGTCTGAGCAGGATGAGGATGCCGACCCAACCCCTGAAGACCTTCAATACATCGACCGAATCAAAACGGTATGTATACATCTTATCATATTGTGAATTCTGAAATTTGTTCTCCCTCTACTACTAATCCTTCTGTGATCGATCTTTCAAATCGCTTCCCGCTTCTTAATTGCATTTCCGTGCGCGCTTGTAGGTGCTGGAGCTACTGAGGAAAAACAGGGACATGCTCTTCGGTGAGGTACTTCAACTTGTTTTGTTCCTTTAGCTTCATGCTGTAACCATTTTGAACAATTTTCTTTGTTTCGGTTGCTAAGGAAGCATCTTAACTTGGGAGTAGTGAGTGGGAAAAGGGGCAGGGGAATGGATAGAGGCTTCTATCATGTGTGCTGCCTCTTGATTGGCTTAGATTCTCATTACTTTATGGCTTAATTACTTATGATTTGCACGTGTCTTGAGTAAAGACGAGATGAAATGGGAGAACAAAAGAATTTAATTTTAAAATATAAAAGATATAGTCTAAGAAGCTTTTATTTCCATCATGTTCCTTCAGAGGAGGGCCTCAGTTTTCCCACGTTTTTTGGTCGATTATGCTGTTTCGGCCTGTTTTTTTACTCCAAACTTTATTTTTGCTTACTACCCATTGCGCCCCAAATTATATAGTCTTTATGACCTTGCCGATAATGATCCAGCGATTCTTTTTGCTATATATAGGTTAAATTAACAATAATGATTGAGGACCCCAGAGAAGTTGAGAGAAGAAGATTGCTTGGCATTGAAGATCCTGATGCCCCAACAAGGGATGATCTAGTTGCTGTTCTGGAAGAAGTAAGTTTGGCCTTCTATGGCTATGCTATGTCCAACTATGAAACCGGACTTGTAGATCTGCTTTCTACTGGAAGTAATTGTGTTAAACCACCTTGACACCATTGATTAACACATTGTTACTAGTATGGTCATAATTTTATTTACTTGACTTCTCCGTAAGGTTTAATAGTGTGACCATTTATTTGGTAGGTGAACGAAGGAAAAATCCCAAAGGATAAAGCTGCTCTCAAGATGCTAGCTGAGGAATTAAATTCATGGCCTAATTTAGAGGTTTGCTGACACTTCCTTTTCTTGGACACAAGGCATGCTTAAACTGAAACAAGTGATAATAGCCACTCCAAAATGTCCTGTGAAATGGAGGTGGTTAATGTTTCCAATGTCTTTTAAAATACTACTTTCGGTCTTTAATATAAAAGCTAGTTTGACATTCAATTTAGTCTTAAATATAAGATCCCAATCTACTTTGTCTCTTATATTTATCTATTTTTTCCAAATAGTCTTTATAATAGATACACATGTTAAATGTTCTATCAAATGGTAATTCTAGCTAATACACATAATTAGTAAGGATATTATAGGGAAGATAATATCTATTTATTACAAATAACTAACTTAACAAATTTTTTAATATATTCAAATTAGTTAACTAGCTCTTATATTAAGGATTGGAGGTAGTACATCGGTACAACAGTTTTTTAAATGATGGAAATTGGGTCCCTACCAAATAAAACCTTCTCAAGATACCAACGCCCGTGTATCTTAATATGGCCTCATAGTCACCGACATTGCTACCTTACCTTGATAGCATAGATATTTCTTTCTAGTATTGCAATTGAGTTGAGATTTGAGAACTGTGTTGAATTGGCATGAGTTATATCTGAAGTCTCAAGAGTCAAGTTTCCTTGGTCGGTCTCATTTTTCATTCTTCTTTCTATGTGCGAACTGCGAAGGCCTTTTGAACATTTTCTATTTTACAATTTTAACAACCCCCTATAAAAGCCTTAGCCTAGCATGACCATTTAAATTTTCTTGGCTTTTTCTTGCTCAGGCATTCTAATAAATGAACTTAGAATTAATCATCTTATCACCTGCTTTACTGTAGTATCCTCTCCCCTGAATCAAGGATTCCAGTGATAATGTAAACCGTATACCGTTCAAAAGGGAAATTGAGCTCCTACCCAATGGTCTTGTATAAACATCAAGCAAGTTAACAAAATCAGATGGAAAAAAAAAAAATTCAATGAATCATGTTGTCTTAATGTTACTACGTAAAACTCTTTAAGTGAATTGAAGACACTACTTTTCCAAATCAAGCTTAAAGGATCTGGAAGCAGCAGAATGAGGCAAGAGCTAAACTTGGGAGATGAGGATGGCAAGGTGTCCCCCCGTTTTTAGGGTTGCTGGTCCACCCATTTGCACCTTTTTTGGTATGTGTTTTGAAGCATGGCCTGTATGTGGGTTTTTTTTTTTGGCCAGAAAGCCTGTATGTGGGTTTACTCTCGCAGTCAATGTGAGTTTTTCATGGTTAATTAAGTTTACTGCCACTGTATTGAGCAGCCGCATCATTCTCTCCTCACTCATTAGGTTTAGCAGAAAAATACCTAGGCAACAGGCCTGCCCACGTAGCGAAGGATCTAGGAGAATCTAATATAGGTTGAACGTTATAGAATCGTGACAGAAAGCAGCGACTAAGTCCTAGGCTGAATAAAATAATAAAAAGAATAAAAATAATTAAATGACATATAGGCCCATGTTACGTTCGGCGACTTCCAGCAGTTAGACCACCCATGAAAGAGCCAAACTTGGGAGACGATGGTGGCAAGGCTGCCCTAAAGTCCTTAAAAGCATTTAGTCCACCCATTTGCACTTTTCCCAGCATGTTTCTTTGGCATGGTCATGGCCTGTTTGTCGGGTTACTTGTACAGCCAATTTCTCTTTTGTGTTTCCAGCCTAGTCAACATTATGAAGAAATTAAGTTGAGAATGTGGCGTGTTTAATTTGCACTTTGCAGTAAAAAAAGTCGGTTTGCCATAACCAATTACAATACTTTATTTAAAAGAAAAAAAAGAAAAAAAGAAAAAGTGGCCACGTTACCAAACTAATTTAGATGTAGAAAACACATGCTTGCTGGGTCTCTTGCTTGTACTTTTAGATATGTCAGTATGTTGAATCAGATGCCTCTCAAATGATGTAACTACTCGTGAAATACATATTTGCGGCTATCATATATAGGTGACTGACTTGGAATTATAAAGATAATTCTTCCTCAGGTTTCTTATTCAATTGATGTTAATTAGTAATTAGTAATTACTGTATTTTTCCCTGTGGGGAAAAAAATGTCTAGGTCGAAGCCCCAAAGGCAAAGCCCGGCAAATCCCTGTATGCAAGAGCGACTGACACGGGAATCAATCCTAAAGAGGCTGCAAAGAGACTGAATATTGATTGGGATTCAGCTGCTGAAATTGAAGAGACTACGGGAAGTGATGACGCAGAAGTGCCCCCTGCTGTGGTCAGTTTCTAGTCTTCCTCCAATATATTTTGCTATTCTTCTGTTTGCCTGACCTCTGTCATAAACTATAATTGGTGTGGGTTACAATGCTGTGTGTATAGATTCATGTAACGTTTAGTGCAAACATAGATTTGTTTAAAATTTGCAGTTAATTCTACACTCCATGATTGTTCCTTCACAATATATTGTTTGACTTATGAACATGCAGTAATTAATGGGAGGACACAAGACTTTCTGGGCTATGAACAGTCCAAATATGTTGGTGCACCATAAGGAGTTCCTAGATGTCATTATTAAGTGTAGAATCATTTTCTTTTCCCCAAAGAATTTGAGCTTTTCTGCTGAGGAGGTTCTTTATCCTGCAGGGTTATGGAGCGCTATATTTGGTGACGGCTTTTCCCATAATTATAGGAATATCTGTAGTTTTGATTTTGTTTTACAACTCTCTCCAGTAGGAATTGTTAATTCAATGTACGAACACGAGTTGTTATCAATGGAAATCATCAGCGTATCTTATGTCCACGTTTGGGTATTTCTATTTGATGCCGGCCACTTCATATTTTATCTTTGGCATTATTTTTCTCTATGGACGTCTTCATCATTATTTTATCATGTGCATGCGCTGCCCATTATTACTATATTCGAGTTGTTGTTCACTAGCTAATAAAGATTGACTATGTGTGTTAACCAAAGATATTTTCCTTAAACAATAAGAAATTTCGTTTTTTTTATATTTTGAATTAGAAAAGAAGGTACTAACGGCTTGATGTTATTAGAATTAAACCAACATTCTTCTATTTATGAGAGTTTTCATGTTATTAGATACGAAAAAAATTCCTCGTCCCCTTTCTTTACAAAGAGATGCAAAGAACTAATAAGAATCCTCAATTTAAATAATGCATAAGGATACTGCCACTTGCAACATTTATTTGAACAGTTTTTATTACTTCATACATTATTATAACTAATTAACATTTTTATTTTTATTTTTCCTAGGAACAGTCTCATAGATTCCTTTTTGTTATTCTATATAGGGGAATAATACTTACATTTATAGTTCTTTAACAAAGAGTTGTTATTTATGAGTCGTCAGTGAAGGCATCGTTGGGACAAAGTCATATTATGATTAGACATATTTTAGAGATAGGAACATGATCACCACGATTAATTGAGACGTGCATGGACGTGCTTTGCACGCACTTCCCTTTCTCCTTCTCTTCTCTATAAATAGTGTTGCAGCCGCCTTTCTTCTCCCAAACTCCATTCCCATGGCGCCACAGATTTCTGATGCAACCATTCCTATCATCAGAAAGCACGCCACCATACTCACAACTGAGGATCATCTTCTTCATCATTCTGCTATAACCATGATCAAAGAAAGCCTGCAAAAACAAGAGAAGCAGATTGCAGTGGATCCTTTGTCCCTGAAACAGCAACAAGTAGCTACTTCTCCACCACCATTACAGCCTCCGAAGTCCAAGTTCTTGAGCATCAGCCAACCGAATTCTGCAGCCTCTTCGCCGCGCTTTGCCTCCGTTCTTTCCAAGAAGAAATCCAATGTTGATAGCCCAGAATCCCCCCCATGCCCTGCAGAATCTTGCTTACAGAAGAGCAAGTCGTGTGGTGAAGGAAGAGCATGCCCACCCTCAGATGAGTTTGATCTTTGGTCCGTAATTAAACACGATACCACCAATATTCATCACCATGGAAGCTTCACGAAACCTGAAGCCATGAAAGACAGTCCGCCGAGAAGTAGTAGTGCTATTACTCGCAAGAACATTGATCCTCCTCCTCCTGCAGATAAAGGATTCAAATGCAGTTGTCTGTACATTCCAGGATTTGGAAAGGCTAAGCTAGTGAGACCTAAAAAGGAAGAATCACATTCTTTGAGTATTGATGGTGTAATATCAAGAACAGTTTCTTTGGAGAAGTTTGAATGTGGCTCCTGGGCTCCATCACCCAGGGCCATAAACCCAGTACTGGATCAGGTGGAAGGAAACGACTCTCTTAGTTCCTATTTCGATCTGCCGTCGGAGTTGATCAGATGTGGCGCCGGCGGCGAGGATGCGCATTCGCCGGTTGCGGCAGCTTTCGTGTTCGATAATAAGGACATCAAAGGAGTGCTCAAGAATGGTACCGCGAGAGGAAACGGCGGCGGCAGAAAGTCAGATGCGTCGCCTCGCCATGTTCGATTTTCGACTCCGTCTTCTCCGGTTTCTCCTGCATCGTCGTGCGTTACTCCTCGATTGCGAAAGGCAAGAGAAGAATTTAACGCCTTTTTGGAAGCCCAAAGTACCGCATCGTGAGAAGAATAATGATAATAATGAAGATCACTTTAGTTTGAGGGTCAAGTCAGATATTTTGGTCAGAGATTTAAGAATTCGTACGTACATTATGGTTTTTGCTAGTGGTACTGGTGGATTGATAGCTCATTAGCTCTACAATGTAAAGCCTTGTTTTTCTTGGCTTCTCCATTTGATTTGAGGCGTGCGTAAGGCAATTTTTGAATTGCAAGCTGTTTTGTTCTCTCTCTCTCTCTCTCTCTCTAGTTTGGTTTGAATTATATGCAATTAAGGGATTACTTTATTATCAACTCATCTCATACTATTTATAAGCCGTTTTCACAATATTTTATATAGATCATAAAAAATCATAAATTTCATTAACTTCATATTAAAATTCAATATTTTTTTAATTTTATTCCTATTTAATATATATTATATCCTATAAAAATAAAGTCAATATAATAATAAATGAATAATCAAAATATATACTGTATCTGCCTTACAAATAGGATAAAATTCTTTCTTAAATAGGAATAGAAGAGTTTTTTTTTTTTTCAATATTGGATGGCATGGTTATTTTGCAATTTCAGAGTTATGTGTTATTTTACTTTCTATTTCATTCTTCATTTTTCACATATACGCACTATATTAGAGGAAATACCGAATGCGGAAGAGGCTTCACTTTGTGTAACCAGTTATTGATCTCTGCTCCCCGTACATATCGCTTGACCCTTGTCCTGAATAGAAGTGTGGGGCTCTTCTTGGTTGGCCATTTATCCCCCCCACTAGAGTGCAAAGTCCTAGTATACGATGTTAGGCAGTACTTACCTAGGTTTTCTGCCCCCCCCCCCCCCCAAAAAAAAAAAAGAAAAAAGAAAAAGAAAAACCCCCGCCCCCACTCCCTCTTTTTGTTAACTTGTAAGGTTTTATCAGGAAAATAAAAAAAAAACAAAGCACTAGACATTTGTTGTAGGGCTCTGAATTCTAAACATTATTCTCATGCCCATCTTGGCTTTCTGATCATTGTTTAGTTTCTTGAGCGATGCATAGCGAATAATTTGATTTATGTTCTAAATTGTAAACTTTGTTCTGTTTTTCATTCACGTTCAAAGCATCCAGATTCAATAGAGTTTAACTCTGCTTTTTCAAAGTAAATTCATGAGAAGTTAAAAACTATTTTGATCCAATGAAAATATAGCTACTCTTGAAGGTCATGACGGGTTTACACAACAAACAGAGAAGGAAACAAAATTGTTGGCATTTGTCAACTGTAAATACTAATGATCAAACCCTAGCAAGCAACAATGTACACACAAAAACACACTTGGTGGTATATATCACAAAAATCAGAAGCCAGATGAATCAACCAAGGAAGAATACGAAGCATTTTCATCCAAATCTACCTGCTTCTTGTTGCTGCTTTTACTCGATGCTCCATCACCACTACTCTTGCTTACTGGCCCCACATCCAAACCTAAGAAGTCACACAACTCTATTCTTTTATGTTTTGCAGTATCCATGTCACCGTCCCAGCAAGTCTCAGAAACAACTTCAAGAGCTTTCTCTATCTTGTCTTCTCCCACAAGACTCTCATTTTGTAGGAGGACAAGGTAAACTTGTTCCGCTGAAGCTTTTCGAATCTGCCTCGACCAAGAAAAAAAAAAATGGTGAGCAAGAAATCTTACTATCTATCTACCTTGGCTTTCTAAGCAAATCTGCTACGAGATTTTTTAACTGTTTTTGGTAGAAAAAGAGAGTAATATTAACCTTAACATGTAACAAAGTACAACAACAGTATATAACTTAGACCCATAAAAGGCCATATTAAATGAATGTTTGAAAATTACCTTGGGAAACCGATGACCAAGAAAGGTCAGAAGATGAGAAAACGCCCGAGTATTGATCGGGTCTGGCACTGAAGCCACATAACCAAGTAATGCAATACCAGCATATAACTTAGAGAAATCCTTTGATCCCTTTAATTCAACTGCTAACGAATCCAAAACGCCAGCACAAAAAGTTGTCATGTAAGCCTGGAAACAAAATCTTACACTTGAATAAAATCTCACTAAAAATTTGTCAAGGTGAAAAAATTCAATAATAGAGCCTCAAGCTTTCAGCAGTTTTTACTAAACAGTATAAATGACTCATGATTCCTTTTGTACATTAAGTTAAATAAAAAAGCCTGGTCCTCTTAAATCACGCTCAAAAATACTTGAATCTCACAAAATTAGCATTAAACCCATTTAAGAGAATAGCATATATTATCCATGAGCATTAATGAGAAAAGCAAGGCAAAACAAAAACAAAATCCCCCTTAGAATCCACCTCCCCTTCCAAGCACAACTCCAGCCCCGGTCTACATAATTTGATCTTGAAAAGAAGCTTTATTATTAATCAGTTCTACGATATTAAAGATTACTTAAACATTTGTAAAAGAACACGACAATACTGATTATCATAGGGAACCAGCGTGAAGTATTCCTTCCTTTGGACAATGCAAAATTCATTACTGACAAAGATAACACAAGATGCTGCCAAAATTAGTGGTCAGGACCTGGCATGTTATGGGCTTAATATCTCTGGATTCGTTAGAAACCTTAAAGTGCCTTTGGGTTCTGGATACGTTTCCAGCTTTCATTCTCTATTTTTCATTTTTTAAAATCTAACTTCATGTGCGAGTTTCCAATATTTTAAAATAATTGTCATATGAATCTAAAAACTTGTTGGTCTCCATTTTCAATTTGAAAAACCTTAAATGACAATGCATTTACTTATTTTCAGTTTGACCATCAGTAGATGATCAGAGTCACAAGGTTGAAGTGTAATGGGAGTGAATTTCTTGTAAAATTACCTAAATTACACGTTTTGTTAAGTGGAAACATGGAAATCTTTTGGACATTTCCGTTTCCATTTTTCAACAAGCTTATCCCATTTTTAAAATCATGCATGTTTTATGTTTCAAGTGAAAATGAAAGCAGGAAAGGAAAAAACCAAATGGACTTCAATTTTCATCTTCCTTTCTCTTCACAAATTCTATCCCATTAATTAACGCACAAGCTGCGACAAACACATGGAGATATGAAGAATTACTTAACCATCAAGGGTAATCCGTAGAGACAAAAGATGGACAAAGGATTTTATAGCTCCAACCAGCATGATAGACTGAAAACAGGAAAGCCAAACTAACCTCCAAATTAAGGAATATCTTTTTGCTGAACAGGATCTCAATGGTCTGAAATGCAGAAAATTATCAATATATCAGGACTTTAAAGTGAATGCTCGAAGCAATCGCATTGAAGAAGAACGCAGCAGATGCTCATTATATAGTTAGAGTTCTGATTTATTGTAGAAGAAAGTTAGGGTTCTGGTTCTACTAGTTTCACAAAGTCTGACTATAATTATTCGCCTAAAAGAATGCCTGAGACCCAGCTTATCATTAACTTCATTCTAAAATTCCAAATCCCTAAACTCACCCAAAAAGGCATAGAAAACCAATTCTAGAACTTTAGCATCTATGTTGCAATCTAAATTTTGAATTTTTGCAAGTCAAGAGCAACCTACAAACATCCCAGTGTAAAACCCACTAATTAATACAACATTTAGGACTAAAAGTGAACCATAAAAGGTATTATCTTATAAGTTTTTCTGGGGACAAGATATCCAGGCTTTATCCCAAGAATATGATTTTCACCTACTAACAACAAAAAGAATGACAATACGCCAGGCCAGAGTGTAGCCTAGGAGAATAAATTTAAGCAATAAAAAACATTATTTTCCATCCAGAACGAGTCATCAGCAAAAGATGAAAAAGTAATATAGAAAAAATAAAATCTTTTTTAATGTTGATGATGTTGTGATTCACAGCAATTAATAGACAAATGAAGAGGAAGGCTTGATAAACAGGGACATGACAAACATGAAGGTGAATAACGAAAGCTTCCATCTGCTATTCTAATATCATTGAAGAAAAGCATAAACACACAAAACAGTGATAAATTACAAGACTGACATCCTGATCTATAGAGAAAGAAACCAAATATTATCATCTATGAGGATAATAGTATCCATGATCATTAAGCACTATGTAATACTTAAATATAGTTTTGATAGGTTTTTAATATCAAACCTCAAGCTGAAAATTAACCAGCTAAGAGTCAATCACCAGAAGAATTTTAATTGGCATTGCCTTGCAGCCGAATAAATTTCACGTACAACTTCTAAATTCAACAGTTTTATGAACTCATAAGGGACTTGCAATGAACTTTTAAAAGAATTCAAAGAACCACAATTTGCAGAAAGACCGTTGAACAATCACTAAGTTGTTCAATAAACCACAATTTGTAGTATGACCTCAACCAGTCAACAAATTTACATAAACTAACAACTGCTTGCATAAGAGCAAAATCCAACTATAATGGGCTCAAGCAACAGACAACAAATGACAAACATTGATCAGGCCATCCGAAATTCAAACTTCAACAATTAATAGAACTTTAAAACACTGAAAGGACTTCTAGACCCTTACTCTCCTCGAGCAACACATTTTCAAGATTTTTCTATTGGAAAACTTGTTACACAGAACCAAACAGCAGAGTACCTACTATCATAATTTTTGGAACCAAATGCCTGAACAACCAGCCAATTTCTCATTCATGAATCAGTGTAACTGAAAGCTACATGAAAATAAAAGCTTGATGAAAGCTAATTACCTTCAGAGTGGGTATTATAACCCTGTCATGTTTCTTGTATTGTTGAAGAATCCACAGAATGTCACCAGAAAACATGCACTCCCTGGTTATTGACCCTTGTAGATAATCTAACAGTGCGGAGAGTGACACCCTCTTCAAAGAATCTTGTAACCCACCTATTGATATAACTAAACCTGATAGCAAATGTCTACTATAACAACCAACTTGAAGCAACTGTACAAAGCGCGGATATGAGTAGGTGGGGACCTGCAAGGAAACAATTCATCTTTCAATGAAGAAAAAAGCTATTCTACCCGTCTCATGAATTGA